AATGCCAAATATTGTTAACCAAAGTTCACTGAGCTCCACTATTTTTCTTTGCAGCCAATTTATCATGGTCCGCTTCAACAATTCGGAATAATGAACAATCGGGAAACAACCTGGTCTCTACAGGGGGCAAATGCATAAACGAGTGCTTTGTCAGTCACTCGAGTCAGGCTACCCTCGGCCTAGAAGCACTAGATTGCCAATTATATATATATATATATATATATAGGAAACACTGCTTAGGAAATACTTTCTGTCAGTTTTCGCTAAAAGTTCTGCTTAGAATGCTTGTGTCCAACGTTGTACCTGCCTCAAAATTGCCATGAAACGGAAATTACAGTCTGACCCTTCAGTAAATTCAGGTAAAAAAATTCAAACATGTTCCGAATTTGAAATTCAGGTAAATTCAAACATGTTCCGAATTTGGAAGAACTCATCCTCAGTAGCACACGACTATGGTTCGTAAACTAAACAAATCACAATGAACCAATGAAAATTATTTTAGTGCTGCAGCTGATGGCCTGTGGCAGTTTGGCTAACAATACACCCACTTTGCGGATTATTATGAGAATGTAAAGCGCGCGACGCATATCCAGCACACTACTCAAAAGGTCATTGGAAGATCTTTGACGATTTTACCCTAACTGGAGCTCACGTGATGGGCGCAGTGCGCAAATGAAAATAGGGAGTCTGTTATGCTCAGAAACTATGATGCACAATGTCGTTTATCATTCCGACTGAAACACGAGACAGGTTTCACGGCAGTCAGTTAAAGAAACAGTTTCGACACCCACAAACATCGAACTAAATTGACAATGAATGCGTTCCATCAGTCTTATTCCCCCTTCATTGCCTGACTCTCTCTCCAAAGTCTAGAAAGGAGATAACCAAATATATGTTGAACAATGATGTTAAATCCTATTTCGATCACGTGTGATTGCAAAGCACTATCTCACTCCAACATCTCCGCCCTTGTGATGACACTGATAAGAACATTGCTGTGACGCTGTTTGCCACCGGAATAAGAAATGAGGCAAACTTTTATTCACCTACCCATAATTTCGTTAATGTGATCACAGCATGACCGTTTATCGAACGAAAAATAGACCATAGGATGCGTGACATCCATACAAAGCCAACCGTTTTTTTCTTAACATTTGGCCTGTTTCTCAACCAATGTATTTCCAACCCAAAAAAAATTTTGCCTGGATAGTTAGTGATTTTTAGAGGAAGAACCAACGGAACTCTAATTCATCAAACACCATTCCTGTCGAATGCCGCATAGGTATAACACTTTTCTATTGACACTAAATAGTTTTTTTTTCTAGGTGAAAACTCAACCCATTCTATTATTGTCATGCGAATTCCAGACATTCTTTTGATCAAGCCACCTTCTGACTTAATTGAAAAAGTACAAAACGGTCATATTTTGAAGGAGCGGTCCGCCCAAACTTCCCAACCAATGTAAACGGTTACAATCCCGAACTGCATAAACTATCATTATAAGGGGGCCTGTTGGGCGGAATAATACCTCATGGCTAGGTGCCTAATTGAAGCGAAATTCGGCAGTGAGTGCATCACGCCTCAGAACGTTTGGCTTGGTTACCTCAGTCAAGTATCCACAGCGCTTTCCCTGAGACAGAGAGAAGTAATAATCGATAGAAACAAGATGACTTCTTAGTGACTTCGCATATATTGGGTTTCTAGCAGGATTGACTTCACAGCAATGTGACACAGTTGAGACGTGATTCTACGCATTGATTGATAGTGACTTCTGTGCTCGAGCTATGAATGAATTGCGTTGTTTGTTACACTAGCTTGTGAGAAATAAAACTCTCAGATTATAATCAAGTATTCTCGGTTTGCTGGATGGATTGACCGTGACTGCTGAGGGTCTGTTATGATACGCTTTCAGGTTCGATTGCGCTATGTATGGCGACCATGCAAGCACCCACGGTTTTTGCCAAAAGGAAGTCTGTTTAATTCGTTTGCATATTGACGTGCCAGCAAAGCAACATTTCGAAAAGAACCCGGCATTTTTAGGAGTAGTGTAAAAGCCTTCATTTCTGTTTTCATTTCGTAACTCGAAGCCTGATTTCAGGGCTTTCTGGTGGCAATTTTTCGTAGTTATCAGTCATTCAGAAGTCCTTGCGTTACCTTCATAAAGAAACTACTTACAAGGCTGCTGAAGACTTTTCGACAGCCTTCGGTCCTTTCTATCTTTCTTGGAGCTCATAAGGTAGACGCGGTATCGTTTAATTTTATGTCCTACCCGATCCCACTAACATCCCGCTAGCATCCATATTCCCATCAATAAAATACCAAACGTGCAGGACCTTATTTCCCGTGGTTCCAATTTCAACTGGTTTCATTTTCTTGCACAGGTCTCCCGTTCCACACACGGACCTTGGGTTGGATAGTTTAGTATCAAACGCTTCACCATCAACCGTGTTGGCATCATCGATTCTCATCAGGTAAACGCGGTCCCCTAGTTTCCTTTAACCCCATATTCTACTTGATGATCAGAACAAATTCGCCAAATACTCTCATTTGAGATTTTTCCAACTAAACGTATCATTTACGGTGGTCTTGTGAGTCGGAAGAAGGGCGAAGCCGATAGTGCGCTGTCCAATATTTGTTAGCAACCTTATAAGTAGTGTGCCGCGTCTAAGCAAGGTCTAGAGATGCGCCAAAAATCATGCGACCTGAAACGTGAGACCGTCCAGTGCATCACATTCGGTTGCAGCCAATCAAGAAATAGAAACGCATTTCAACGTCGGAATCAATTTAATGTGTAGGTGAGGGTAGTGGAGGAAAATTGGCCTTTTTAGAAAGCCGGTGATTAATTTTTAGTCTGGATTTTTAGTGTATCTTTCTGAAGAAGCTTTGGACCCTACTGCGTACCGCATCAAAAAAGCAAAACATACTTCGTGCGGTCCGTAACCATCTAGACAACATGTTTCGTAATGTTGAAGAGATATTGTAATTTAAATTTGAATGTCACACATATCCTGTTTGTGTCCTCAGGTGTCATGGGATAACACAGTACTCATGAGATTGCTTAAAACTCTCCGGCAGTTCACAGCCAATTTCACCCTTGTGTGCGTCCCTCACTTGGGCTCCACTTCAGAGTTCCCATCAGCCTTGGGTTCGACATGGACACCGAGTCGTACGCTCATCTGTAGACTACGTTGGTGATAACGAGGGATTCAACTGAAAAAGCCGTATTATCTTTCAGTTGGTAATATATTCGAGATATCGCAGCATATTCTTCTGAGATGATATGCTACTCATTGGTTTTTTTTATTTATCTCTGGATGACGACATGTCTTGCAACGGATGAAGTTAGGTCAAGTTACATCTGGCTGAATCCAATGGACTTCGAGTTGAATGCGATTGAACGATATTCTGAGCACCTGATGGGATATACGGACTAAAGGAACCAAAGCATCTCCGACTGATGTGCGGACACCCGATAGCAGAATAAAATTACTGAAACAATTTGCAGATTACTGATGAACTGAAAGGTTAACGTTCAGTTGAAAAAACATTTGTGCGTCCTTTAGGGAATTTCAAAGGCTGTTTCAGTCAATCTAGTGATCAGCAACCACTGTGAAAATAAATATGATTCCACTGGGTAATTTTTGTCAGTCAGGCCATGTTTAGTTTTGCGACATTCTTTACGTCCAGCGCATGTCCCAAGCTCAAATTTCAATTTCAGTATGTTCCCTGAGCAAGAATTTCGTGACTTGATCTGGTATTCCACTACTCGGTACAATACTCATCATTCGTCACAGTTTTTTCATCTGAAGAAATCGATCCTCGTAAAGAACGAGCACCAATCCTCTGTTCATACTTCCCTCGTCCTGACTCTTGTTCTCTCTCTTCACTAGATCTCATCTTCAAGTTTTGAGAATGGAGTAAAATTTTGTTTCCTATGGACTAATTTCATAACTTTAATCTGTATGTACGTGTTCGGTTTCGAAAACGTTTGGTGACAATCGACAGATTTATAGCTGGGAAACGTTTGGCTTTTGACACAGAAGCTTCGTCAGGCCAAGTGACTAGGTTCCGTGATTTTCATACTTTCTTCAACGCTCAAGTTAACTAAGATCATCATTGAGTTGAATTGAGAGACTATCCGCATGTCATTAGTTTTATAAGTTAATTTTGGTGATTAATTTCCAATTGGTTTGACTGGAAGCACTTCGTTGTGTGTATTACTCCTACTGAACTTCATTCTTATCTGACACTACTTCTTAGGGAGCTAACTTACTCTCGCTGTTGTCTTTTGACGTTGATACCAGTATGCGTACACGTAACCGTCAATACGATTGTGATATCGATCTGCTCAGAGCCACTAACATGCTGAAAATCAGTCGCCGCACAATATTTGATCAATAACATGTATATCAGCACGGTAGATCACAGGAGCTTGAAAATTTGTTACTCAATAAATTAGTTATGTAGATACTTAGACAACCCAATGCTGTCCCATCCTTCCAGCAAGAGCAAAAAATTCGTAATGAGACTATTTACGTGTATGGGGAAAACGCCTACGTGCAATAGCCGAGAACAAATTCCCGGGGGACATAGACGAACATGACCAGCTGATCACACAGACAGATTCATGTGTTTTCTCGAATTGCTCGAACCCTTGTCGTCACCTTGTGGATTTCATTTCGCCACCAGGCATTCTGGCTCGCAAATATTTCATTGGTCATCTGGCTGTCGGGCTATCTTTGCTATCGCCTGCTTTCATTGGGCCATACAGGTGGTATACTACTACTCTCACGCAAGCCAGACCGACGGGGCGTAACACTGCGAGAGTTCCACAGACCAGACCGACCACGTTTGTCTGGTTTTGCGGAGTTCGGTGCACACGGTGTTGTACGCACGAAGCGGCGTGGCTACCGTTTGTTTGCACCAATCACATAGCGCCTCACCCATTGGCGCATTGGTGCAATGTCGTATTGGCGAGTTTGCAATGGTGAAGAGCAGATGATTGATAACCCGGGGTCACACATACGACACGACCATCGTTGCACGAGTTAGCGCGACACAACGGAAACTGCTCATGCACCGTATGTACTGGGATGGCGATTACTGGAACACCAACTTACTCATTCGGTCACACAACCTTCGGACTACATTGCGGGAAAAGTACCTGGTCGGCCGCTAATGAACCTGTAGCCAAAGAGCGATCCCATTCATCAGATTCTACTACCGCAAAGTATATGAATTCACACAGCCATAAAGGTTCAAAGGCTGTGTGTGGAAGACACCTGACGGTTAGAACATTCCACAAAATTCTCGACTGTCTCAATGAGTTACAAAAGAGAAAAGCCCTTTGTCCTAGACATGAATCAGTTGTGTTTGTTTCTCAGTTGACTTCGACTGAGATCCCCTCATACACCGGTGGTGGTGACAATCTAGAAAAACGGTATCTCGGAGTCTTGCATCAACTGGAGCAAATCTATCACTGCCCGAGTTGTCGTAACTTGTTGAAGAAAAACGATGGTCTTTCTTGTCAGAATGAAGACTTTGTTCATCAAAAGCGATTGTTTCTTCGCCTAATAAAGCAATGCTTAGGCAGTACAGACAACGAACTCAAAGACACTTTGGAGGGGAATAGTTACACAATGCGATTGTCGAATCTGCCTTCAGAAAATTGTCCACTTGGTTCGGTTGATGACTCGATCATGAAAGAACGTCATTCCAGACCACTTGACAAATCGCAGTATTGCTGGGAATGGTTACTGTGCTCGGTGGATGAAACAGATGAAACTGACTGTTCAGATTATCTCCATGAGTTTGGTCCCGATAAGCACCGTGCAGTGTTTATGAATCACTCAAATCTGTGTCCGTCCTGGTCAGGATGCGATACCGCTTCCCAGAGCGCAGGTTCGGTAAGTGGCAGTTGTGTGTTTGTTTTCGACCAAATTTTGAAAGATATTCTGCGTTCGAGCCAGTAACTCGTGTGGTTCCGCACAACATATACCTCGGTCTCATATCCCGGTGATTCAGCCGTCGGCTTTTGCTCATTTACTTACAAATCGAACAGTCACTCTCTTAATAGGCACCGAGGCTACATGAAATTATTCATCCTAATTGTTATCGTTAGCTGCCCCAACATCATTGCATGCGTCAACGAATTTTTGCCTACCGAACACCTGCGTAAACCACCGGAAGCTGCAGTCGTTAATAGTTGATTTTATTCAATGACTTTAAAACTTTGCGCGTGTCTGTTCTCCTAGTTGATGCCCCTTAAAGTTTTTTTTTATAAACTGTCGTCGAACGGAAGCCTTCCCTATCGAAACTTCACACCGAACAAAAGGCTTCATTTACAATTAGGGCAACAGAACATGGCTGCGATTAGACCTTGTTAGGAGTTCGCCTTTGACTCGCGTAAGTACGACAGCGACACTATCGTCAGGTTAGCTCAAGACTGTTTGGCTATCTTCATGAAAGATGATGAGAAAACGCTTTCCTGAACTTTTCTTCGAAGGGGAAGTTCACTGAAACCTGACAAGTCATGTCGCTCGATGCTCTTGAGAAACTTGCCGATGACATGATATATCATCGATACAAACGTTAGTTCGAGGGCGAGTGTTCTGAGCCAAACAGTTCCGAATTTCATCTGTGTGAAAATACATTTGTTTGATATCAGTAGGGTTGACTCAGAAATTTTTCGGTTAAGTAGCTTGGTGGACAACGTTACGGACTTGCACATGAACGATTCCCTGCATGGGTGCTTTCAAATTAGCTGCAACTCTCGTCGTGAACGCGTTTTGTTTAGCCAAAGGAAGAGGCAAAATGCACTGTTCAGAGAGAATGCTTCGATGGGGTGTTTTGGGAGCGCTTAATCCCTGTCGGGAACCGAATCTTGAATCGTCATGATCCGTGATTTTCGTACCACGAAACCAACGTGAATAAGGACGTAAAGAATTCACTCGTGGCTATCAAGAACTGTACTTTTCAGCTGTATTACACTGAGTTTGTTTTTAGTTGTGACGTGTACCACTTACTCATCCTTGCCCAAATTATTTAACGAACCAAGTAAGTCTAGTCCAGTCGAGTAAAGCACACTAATATGACGATACAGGTGTACGTACGGTGTTGGCTGGGCCAACCGCTGAAGTTGACAGTCTGTCAGTAATCCCGAGCCTGCAAAGTAGGGCATTTCTATTGTAGTGTCACCTCTCTTGTGTTTATACAGTCCTCGTAGAACCTTGAAGTGGTTCCGCTTCGGATTCTCAAGGTTGTTCTCCTTAGTTGCAAACATCTAATGTCACAGTTGCCCCGTCAACTTGTGGAATTGCCTTGTGAGTGTGAGCGTCAGATTCTAGTTGAGTGATTGTGATTCGCACCTTTATATTTCGTTCAACACTTTCCACTGATCACATGTGATATGAAGTCACTACCCGGTTCATGCTGCGATTTCTTGTCCACCACGACTTTATCCCCGATTTTTGTAAAAAAAAGATACAATGGTGGAACTGGACAAGATTAAAAATCGTAATATTTTAATAGTTACTTTTGTGGTTACGTTGATCGCCTGAGTAAAAAAATACGGTAATGGTGAGCTACAAGTCATACACACATCTGGAATTACAAAACACTGGTCGATACCTATTTTGAACTCAAATGATCCACTACGGTGCGTCTACTTTGGTGACTTTTGTGATCACATTAGTGTATTAATACCGGTCTCCGACTTGATCACCTAGCTTTGGATCTACATTCTTTCGGTCTTAACCGAGCGTTTTAGATCACTCTCTCTCTCTCTCTCTCTCTCTTCACTTACAAGGATAATGCTCGGAAAGCCTCAGTTGCAGCGGTGCAGCCTTGGAAAAAAATACAAAACCCCATTACATGGATATCACCTCAGGTGGAATATGCACTTCTGTTGCCTCAAACAGACATGCGAATACCGCCAAGCCAGAAATATAGGACCACACTTCGATTTTGGCTTGAACACACTTCCTGTGTAAAGGACCTTTGTACCGATAGGCATTAAAGCAGTCTGAGTGTGAAAATATGAAAGCTTATCCATTGGGTGTTCGATGCATGGTAACAAACAAGTGTCTGATTCATGTTGGTCTAGAGAAACTGATGAGAGTACTCCTCATGTGAAAACGATGTTCCTTGCATGGATTAATCTTTATACGACGATGGCATTGTATGGGAGACCTCCGAAACTTAGGTACTACGCAGCAGTATATCAGGGAACAATTCTACACTCGTAGATACCACTAAATAATTTCAATTGTTCGCCCACACAGCATCTCTTGCAGACTTTAAAGTGAAGAGAAGGCCATTAGCAACTTCATTCTGAAGTTTACTAAATCCGAGCTGGAACTCGGTTGTAAGCACAAGGCGAATCGTGACTAGTAAGCGAATACCACTCAACTAGGAGCCGACTGAGGTGACAAAATAAAGGAACAGATCAGTGATAATGAGAGCGTTAACAAATTATCCAAAATGCATGAATGCATCAAACCGCCCATATCACCATGAACGAGAGATTCCGTTGAGTCTCCCGTCAAAACCAGATTGGTATGTAAATCAGAGTTTCTGGTGAAAATGGAGGTCAACACAACACTCAAATTAACAACAGTGACACGGGTAGGCAGTCACTTTTAACCGCAGATCATTATCCAGCTGTATAACACTGTTACTGCATGAGTGGTCAGAAGACCATCCGTCATTTCAAAGCAGTTGTATCTATTCTGCGTCTCTTCTTGTTTGGGTTCCTTCAACCGTGACTGGCTACTATGAAGGCAAACTGGTAATTTTGGTTAAAATGGTCAAGATTCGAATTTCTGAACCCAAATCTGCGAAGATGTCTGCATGTGTCTGCATTGAACCCATAGCTAGATTACTCTAGCCTGGTCAGGTCGACCTAGAACATGGGCCACATTTGCGGTAGGTAAGGCCAACATGGATCACTTGCAGGCGTTCTCATTGGACACATTCGTGAAATTGTGCAATTTAGAAGAACAACGCATTTCGGTGTTGCTGTTGCGTATGCAGGTCTATCCTTAGACTTACTGTAGGACGACACGTGCACCCACGTGCAGATTGTATCTATGGCGAAACACCATTCGGCTGTTCGAAATAAACTTGAGTGAGTCTCATCAACTTCACTTGGTTGAAAAAAAAAATTGTGCCACGCTGTGCGTGGTCTCTGACTTAATAGTGTGTGATGATATGCATATTCACATTCAAGTTGAGCTTACCAAAACGTATGATGTCAAAACACGAGAAAAAGGTTTCACCGTAAATTGTGGTGCGTATAATGTGCCAATACATCCTCTGTGATATTTTCGAGGCAACCTCATATTTTCGAACAGCGATAACCACGTCTATTCTCGACTGTTTTTTCTACTTACCGTCAGTCAGGTGCAGCTTTTCGATACAAATGGGTGTGGCATTGTCGTTGCACACGTAACAGTTTTTGACAGTCAGGTTTACCCTGTGTCTTTAGTTTGTAGATCGAGGTTTCCTAAAGGCATAACAGTAGTGGTGATGAAAAAAGAATTAGAATTTATAGATAGGGGTATGTCGGCAGGCAGAGAATTGTACTCACTCGTGAAAGCCTATCCACTTCATGGTCCTGGTTTCAGACTTGCGGATAATCAGTGCCTAATTGGGTTATAAAAACCGGCGTACTGACTGAATTCAACAACTTTTGGTGCCAAACTTGATGTTCTTAGATTTCTCAGGTTTTCTTCCATTAATATTGTGTTGTCATGAAAAATTCATGAGAAAACATGGTGAACTTGTGCGATTTCGATATTATGTCTGGATGTCGTCCATAACCGATCAATAACTTTAGGACGATTAGTCATCTAGACGTGTTCTTACAGTTTTTCATTAACCGAAATGCTTCGTCTGGTACTTCTCGGGTGATGTATTTGACTTATTGCTAAAACGTTTTGTCTGAGAACATCATAAACGAAAGATTCAGCTTGGTTCCAGGTGAGAAAGAACCAATTAGTTTGCAAAAGAAGGGAAATTCGCCGGTTTTGCACTTAGATTTGGTCGTACTCCATCGTACAGAGACTGTAGGTTTTCAAACTCATCATTCTGATTCCTTATTGGTCACACCTCGCCACGCTGTAATCATTACCACACCGATCAAACCTCAAGGCCATAGTCCATAGTCGATTGGTCCAAGGATTCTCTAAATTCAAAAGACAGTGGCAATGCGCAGACAACGTTGTCGACAGGTCGGCTTCTTGTACTAGAACACCTCTGCGCCCCATACAGGAAAGTGCATGTATGTAAGATAGCCCTATTTTCACTGTGTATGTAGGTGATCCCCCACTCACCCGTCGTTAAAAAAGTGCGGGCTAACAAGGTAGTTAACCTTTCAGGAAATTACTTACAACTCAAAAAAAGTGAAGTACATCAGAATTGGAATTAACTTTTCCTGAAAATATGAATGGTTAGATGAATCCCGTTAGATCATACAAAAGGTCATCGTCAGACTGATGACTTCGCCTTTGTCGCGTTTGTCTATCTCGGCTTACAGCTGTATCGGTTTGGAACCACATGAGAGTGGCCAATGAGGTTGCAGTGGATTGTGTTTGCAAAGATTGGTGTAACGGTGATATTACTGAGAAAACATACTACTCGTATGCCCCCAATCAGTAGTATCACCGTTACACTGGTAAGATGAACTGGGTGGTAACTGAGAAAACTACTCGTATGCCCCCAATCAGTAGTATCACCGTTACACTGGTAAGATGAACTGGGTGGTAATCCTGTTAAAATTTGGTCTGTCTCGTCAGCGAAACTGGCGGGACAATGACATAAATTTGGTTCAATGTGCATGGATAGCCAAAACTTCCATGGGATGTAATCGCTTCTGCTGGGCCACACTGTCCGTTCTGCCGAAGTG